GCATTTCAAATACTAGAGACTTGTGCTTTGGAATGTACATACATTTGAACATTATTATTACGTTCTGAAAATTTCATTAAGATTGTACGTCTAGAAATTAAATTATTCAGCAAATAAATTCTTATAATATTGTTTATACTGCAGCGCAGCCCAAGCGCAGTCGCTGCTTACTTCGCAGTTATACGTGCGTGCGAATGCATGTATATGTATGCATAAAAGTAGTACAGAATGAATATCATATTCAAGGTATCTTCTAGTTGAGGAGTCTCGACTAGAGCGTTTTTACTTACGCTCATTCACGTAAGTGAAATGAGTATATTGGTTTTGTGCAATGTCCATCTTGCTGATCGTCCGCCTGTCCGCAGTATATTTTGGCGCTATTGAAGCTAGATAATTGAAATTAGGAACTTATACTCCGATCTATAAAGTGTTAAAATTTTCTGGATCCGCATACTAGGGGCGTGGCAAATTGGACATATATAGTGATTTTTCAAATTCTGCTATATTTTAGACACTATTGATGCTGAAATTTGATATATATACGCAAGTTGACCACCCAAGCTATAATGGAGTTATCTCTGCCCAAAGGGGGCGTGGCAAACCGCAAAAGTTACTAGTAACTTCCTCTATCGATTCCCCAAATAATATTGTTACGCCTCTTCAGGAACGTGGAATATAAAACAATACCAGTTATTTTTGCATTATTGGAGCGTAAGCATCCAGCTAGGTTACAGTTAGCTTGTACCACGAGCTGGCCAAAAATGAAGTGTACGCCCAGTAGGGGTTTGGCAAATCGAGAAAAACTGAACTTTCTACAGTATTAGAGCAAAACTTGGCTAGTAAATTGCTGATGGGGTGTGAATGAGTATTCCGCAGTCGGTAACTCCCGACTGCAACGTTCTTACTGATTTTTTCATTAATCTTTATAGAATCATAAAATTAGCTCATGTGCCATATTTTAACGTTATAGTTTTAGAGCTTTAGGGGATACAGTTTTATCCGATTTGCCATGCCCCAATGGGCGTAGATATATCCGCCATAGCTCGTGATCTTGGATGGTCGACGCGGATGTACATTCCAAATTTCAGCTTTCTAGCTCATTAACTAATATGATTTCTGGTATATGTGATAACGAATTTTCCGATTTGCCACGCCCCATATACAATATACTCATTTCACTTTCGTGAATGAATATAATAATGCGTTCGTCATCAAGTTTTTGGGTTGGTTGTTGTGTATTGTTAGTAACTCTTGAATATCGGTATGTTGCAGACATGGATTATGTGTTGCTTGAGTTGAGTCATCGGAATTGGTTTTGAATTGTCTGATGTATATATGTTATTCTTTGCAGCCAAAATACCCATATATTTTTTTCGACAGTATTTCTTGGAAATAATGCTCGCAAAGGCATTGACACTTTTGGAAATCGCAAGATTTGTTAATGGAGAGTGGGTCGTACTAGATTTTTCTGCCAATAAGGAAAGTGGTTTCGAACCAGATAGAGAAGGTTTCAATGGTATTGAGAAAGAAGACATTGATGACCAAGATGAAGATGATGTTGATGTAACCATTTCTTCAAATAGCACTTCTTTGTCGAATATCAACCTAAAAAGTTCTTTTCCATAGAGACAACACAACTTTTGAATGAGTGTCAACTGCGGCTTCTCGCAAGTACTGCCTTGCCTCCTGAAAAAAATTGAACTTTCGGAGCCCATACAATTCTTTTTATTTCCAAAATACCTTTTTGAGCATATTTCGAATGAAACCAATTTGTACATTCGCCAATAAGACCCCAATGGTAGTTCAAATTTTACTTTCATGGGGATTCGGCACTTCGGAGTTGACATATAAAGTCTTATCATTGGCATCCAACTATACTTATGCTATACTTCCCAAGGAAAAATCACGTCGATTCAACAAAGCAAAAAAGGAATACGTAGAGATTTACCGACCTTTTGCAGTATCACAATACAATGGCTATATCTGATCGACAGCATAATCGTAAGATATAATATTTTACTAAGAAGTAGACTCTTGCAGGTTTGCATTTTTACCATCTAATCGACTTGACAGACAGTTTAATGCTTGCTTTTGTACAAACGTGTACATAACGAAAATGTATCAAGCTATAAGCTGTTAGGATCTTCCGACTTTCGGATAAATATTGCAGTGGTGCTAAAAAAATTTAAACCAAATATATAATGTGAAAAAAAAGTTTAATGCTCAAAAAAAGGTTTCATAAACTCCATTAGGCCAATTAACAAACGCACGTGCAGCAGCAACTTATAGTGTTGTGACTAGCGGCACGAAGCTCGATCGAGAAGTCCTTATTTCGAAAGTGAATTATTATACTTGTTGGAGTGGTGGCGTCGCCGATATACAAAGACCGGTTTGTAATTTCTTCGTTTTTCTTGTATAATATAATGTCACATATATAATGTCAATACCAGTAGAGGCAAGTGACAAGTGGGGGGAGACGAAGCACTCAGCGGGACGCTAAATACCGCAAAACAGTAGGAGTACTAGTGCTGGGGTTGAGTTATTAAAAAAATGCTGTTAATAACATAGCATGGCGATGTGTGGGAGGAGTATTTCTTGTTAGTGGTATCAGTCATTAACATGCCCCCCCCCCCCCCCCTCCTGCAAAAATTTTATCAAATAAAACACATATTTTCACGAAAATAAAAATAAGTAAAGACAAGCTATGAGTTTAACATGATGTCTATATCTATGAAAATCACTTGGGCGCAAAAATAATTTCATTTTTATTTCTTACATCCAGTCGAGCACTCTCGACTAGAATTGTCATACTTGTTTGTATATACATATTTTTAATTTTCAGCTAAAAATAAAGATGAAAGTCGGGCAACACAACTTCTACGGAATATGATGACTCAAACTTTTGTATTTCCTGTAGCATCAACTATAGCATTAACAAAAGTACCTGAGGAACCATTGCCACTTTTAAAGGTAACAATTTTAAAAGAAAAGAAAAGAAAAATTATCGAATTTTAATTAACAGGACCTGCCTGAACCAAATGTTGTTAAAATATGTAGAAGAAAGCAAAGTTTTCCCACTAAATCAGATTGTATGGAAACCCCAGTGGCGGTTGAAGGATTAAAAGATAAAAAGGTATAGCTAAAAGATCTCTACATTTATAGATATATGCATATTTATGGGAATAAATACAAATTTTATAGAGCCAGAAATGTAGCAGTACATCAGCTTTACCTACTTCTCAAAAGGATATGTCATGTTCTAATTGTGGTACTTTGACAACAACAATTTGGAGACGTAGTGTAAGGGGAGAAATGGTTTGTAACGCTTGTGGATTGTATTTCAAACTTCATGGCGTCAATAGACCACATTCTATGAGACGTGACACTATTCATACTCGGCGCAGGCGTCCAAAAGAGTGCGAAAAATCTAAAAAAAGTAAGCAGTCATAACATAAACATTTCTTGTTTCTTGAAATTCTTTTATCAATAATGCTAAAAAAAATATATATATATAACTATAATTTTTATGACTGATAGGGAACAGGTCAACACCTATCAACACAATAGTGGATTATGAGACGGATAATATAAATAGCCCAGTAGAATGCAAAAAATTGAGAGTGCCTCTGTCCCAGGAGACGTCAACATATTCTGATTTAGTATTTAAGGTAAGTAGTATTTTCTTTATAATTTTTTTTTGTCCGGATGTAATTGCGGTAGTTACGAGTTAATATTTATTTATATATAATTAATTATATTTGGGATTAATTTGATAAACTATAAATTTATAAACCTGCTCGACTTGAAGATCTTCTCTTATTATTTATTAATATATTTATTTAAAAGATATTGAAAAAATGGGGCCAACTAAAATTAAAATAGCCTATAAAAAGTACATCACATTATAACAATAGTATCACCAACCCGATGAGGGTATTTTATTTGCCAGCCTGGCCAGCTATGCCCTACTTCACAGCCAAATGTGATCAGTGATACTATTGAAACTATGAAATGACAGTGTTAAAATGGAAAACTTAAAATTAGATGTTAAAGAAAAAGGAAAGTCTTACAAATATTGCAAGAAATACTGAATCGAGCAATGAATAAAAAATAAAAAGAATTGAGTCAAAGAAGAGACAAAATGGAATATAGGATAGGAATGAGAAATCACTACACAACATTGGCAAGTGCTTATGCCTTGGCATTGCGATTGGGTTCCCTAAGGTAATCTAATAGGATGAGATAGCTCTAAGGAAAATAAGTGCTAATATTTATTGAAATTAACACTTAAAAAATAAAACGCACTATGCAAAGAATAGTCCGTAGTGCACACAGGTAAATGAAGTGGACGATAACGTCTAGTTGTTCGGGACGGAACCGAAAAATTTAGACGACCCAACAAAGAGGACGAATCAACGATGGAAGACCAATGAGCAGAAGCCTATTATTGTAAGACTATAATCGTCTCAGCTAAGATCCCTTAAGGCAAAGAGAAGAAACTGTTTTTGAACCGATTCGATAC